CATCTTATTCTGTATTCTTACACAGCATCTAAGATTCAGAAACTCACCTTGAACTTGATATCCTCGTGCCTCAGCCTGCTCAGTCCCTGGGATTACGTCCATGCAACATTGCTCCAGGCACAAAATTTTTATTTTGTTGCATACATCCACATGCCCCTTCGAATCTCTGACAGCAAGAGGTGACCTTGCAAATGTAGACTTTCCTATGAAAGTGCTCCCTGTAGAACCCATACATGAACATACAAGGTCCAGAGAGGAGAGTTGTGAGTGAACATTCCTGCACTCCACTACCCAGGAAGGGATTTTTGTTTTCTCACTGTAACGAGCCTGATCATAATGCCATTAAGATCAGCTTGGCAATATTTTAATTTCTCTTTCTTTTGAATCCTACAGATCCTAATGAGATCAGGAATGTTTCAACATCACCTTCTCAAGGGCTCAGGAATCATCTTTATTAAGATAAAATGTCTCCTTTTATTAAAATTGTAATTTCTTCTTTTTTGGGAAAGTGTAAACCTGTCTTAGGGATTTCTTGTCAGTTCTCTTCTATATCTTTCCTGCTATTCCTTATTCCTAACTGATTAGTAAAATTGACCTTATATGCACAACTATGTGTCTTATAGTTAATGAGGATTTAAATGCACAGAATACCTACTTCATGGTACCTATTAAAAAGCAAGGTCTATAAGAAGCAGGACGTCATTTAGTTAAGAATGAGGATAGGGGAAGGGATAAGCTGCAGTATGACAGATGTGAGTGTGCTGGAGTTAGACATGAGGTGTCCCTCCAAGGCTCCTGTGTGAGATCATGCAAGAATAGTCAGAGATGAGATGATAAGATGTGAATGTTGTAACCTAATAAATGGATTAATCCACTTAAGTGGACTAACTGGGTGGTGACTGTAGGCAGGTGGGTGTGGCTGGAGGAGGGAGTCCCTGGGCTGTGCCTTTGAGGTTTCTATTCTGTCCCTGGTGAGCAGAGTTCTTTCTGCTTCCTGGTACCCCATTCTGAGCTGTTCTCCTCCTCCAGGCCCTTCTGCCATTTTGTTCTGCCTCCCCTTGGGCCAGAGCCATGAAATTGGCCAATACGGTTTGAACTTCTGAAACAATGAGCCAGATAATCTTTTCTTCCTCTAAAAATAGTTCTAGTCAAACATTGCATCACCACAGTAACGAAGGTGACTAAATTCACTGATGCAGTCATTTTTTTTTAATCAGATGTCATGTGGGAGGCCAGGCTGCATGTCCAGTCTGCTTAATGAAAAAGAGAAAGGAAATTCACAGAGACTGAGAGTATGTAAAGCAAATGCCCACCTGATAGGGATGAGGGCAGGAATTTCATTAGTTAGAATCCTCCTAGTTTCAGATATTCATCAGATCATTATGTGTTTGAGCTGCAGGGTGGTGCCCCTGCATGTCTGGGCTGAGGTTGAGAAGTGTCCTGAACACTGAGATTGAGACAGAGTCCCTCCTGGTCCCGAGAGCAATATTCCCAATATTTCCCAGAACTGTGGTTCTTAGCCATCAATGTTGAAGAGAAGGTGACATCTGACATTGGGCCAAGGCAGAAGGAGATCACCAAGGAAAGTCGCCATTTGCAGCCTTGGACACATCATTCACAGAGTCCAAAGACTGCAGAGGGTCTCATTATGATCAAAGAACCATCATCATAAGATACTGGCATATGTCATTGTCCCTTAGGAGGTGGACAAAATGCTAATGAGGAGGAAAAAAAAACATTGTCCCTTTGAGGAAAGTCTCCCTTTAGGAAATGCCCCTTCCTAAGACAGATGCCTTGGAGGAGAAGGGAGGTGGTTTTTGCCAAACCTACAGGAGGGCAGTCAGCAAAGACAGCTCCAGGAAGGTGACAAGTGTGCAGACAGGTGCCTCGGAACTTGAAAACCTCGGGCAAGATTAGGGATCTGTGAATCCAGGAAACATAGACCGGGGCAGGAATCACCCTCGGCTAGACGTAAAGTCTCTGGGCTCTGAATGCATGTTCAGCAGACCTCATTATCCAAGGGTACAGCCTGTGGGTTGTTTTATTCAGGTGTTTAATGGAACTGAACAAAGAAGATTGAACTCTACCCTCTGCTTTCTCAGGGACATACATTTGAAACCAAACTAAGTAAAAAAAAAAAAAACAATATTTACAAGAAAAATTTGGAATGGAAGAGGGACATCACTGGCTTTATATTATAGAAGACACCAGTCTTGCAAAATTAGTTCAGACCAAATTTTATAGGAAAAGATTTTCTACACTCCAAGTATTTCAAGAACTCCACGTAGGAGAGCTCCAGATGACCACGTGGGGGTACACTATGTTCAAATGTGCAAAAAGCTAAAGTTCAGAATAGTACTGAAAGAAGAATGTTGACCACACAAATATAAAATGATCAATGTTGAGGGCCACAGCCGAGTCCGGATGGCACATGGCATTTTTTCCAGAATTAGTGGTTCAGAGTTGACGCTGGGGAGCCATTAAGATGATGACTTTTGAGTTCTGGCGGAGTTCCCGTTGAGTTCTGCTTGTGCTCTCGTGGGGATTCCTGGAGAGTTCCCATTGGTTGGGGAAGTGCCAGAGGAGGGATTTTCCGGTTGCTGGTTCCTGGAGGAGGCACGTGGCATTCAGGGGAGTTCCCGGGAGAGTGTGTGGACTGTGCTGGTGGAGTTCAAAATAAAGTTTGTTCCTGCTTCAGTGGCTCGTGATTTGTGCCCAGCCAGACTGCGTCAATTGGTGGCCGGTACGGGGAATGCCTGAAGCTCGGAGGTAAGTGAAATTGTTCGCCCCTAAGGGAAGACAAGTGAATGGGTGACCATTTCAAAAAA